TCCTGGTGGATCATCCCCCACCTCCATAATCCCTCAGGGACAATCCTTGTGGATCATCCCTCACCTCCATCACCCCTCGGGGACAATCCCGGTGGATCGTCCCCCACCTCCATCACCCCTCAGGGACAATCCTTGTGGATCATCCCCCACCTCCATCAACCCTTGGGGACAATCCTGGTAGATCAACCCCCACCTCCATCAACCCTTGGGGACAATCCTGGTGGATCATCCCCCACCTCCATCAACCCTTGGGGACAATCCTGGTGGATCATCCTCCACCTCCATCAACCCTTGGTGACAATCCTGGTGGATCATCCCTCACTTCCATCACCCCTCAGGGACAATCCTGGTGGATCATCCTCCACCTCCATCAACCCTTGGGGACAATCCTGGTGGATCATCCTCCACCTCCATCACCCCTCGGGAACCTTCTTGACCTCCTACCTTGATCAATCATCCCACCTCCGTTTCCTCCTTGGGGACCCTCCTGGGTGTGCCACCCCCACCCTCCCGCCCCCCTTGGCGACCCTCCCACCCCGTGCCTCAGTGTCCCCCCTGTCCTGACATGTCCCTGTGTCCCCCCAGCCGGCTCCAGCGTCATGTCCTGCGTCAGCTGCTTCTTCCTGTCCTTTGGGAACAGCGAGTCGGCCATGATCGCCCTGCTCTGCCTCTTCGGGGGGGTCAGCATCGCCTCCTGGAACGCGCTCGACGTGCTCACCGTGGAGCTCTACCCCTCTGACAAGAGGTGGGGCCTCGGGGCTGGGTGCAAGGAGAGAGGTTTTGGGGGCAAGGAGTAGTTTTGGGTGTAAGGAGTGAGGTTTTGGGTGCAAGGAGTGAGGTTTTGGGGGCAAGGAGGGAGGTTTTGGGGGCAAGGAGTGAGGGTTTGGGTGCAAGGAGTGAAATGTTGACTGCAAGGAGTGAGGTTTTGGGTGCAAGGAGTGAGGTTTTGGGTTCCAGGAGTGAAATGTTGACTGCAAGGAGTGAGGTTTTGGGGGCAAGGAGTGAGGGTTTGGGTGCAAGGAGTGAGGGTTTGGGTGCAAGGAGTGAGGGTTTTGAGCGCAAGGAGTGAGGTTTTGGGTGTAAGGAGTGAGGTTTTGGGGGCAAGGAGTGAGGTTTTGGGGGCAAGGAGTGAGGTTTTGGGTGCAAGGAGTGAAGTTTTGGATGTAAGGAGTGAGGTTTTGGGTGCAAGGAGTGAGGGTTTTGGGTGCAAGGAGTGAGGGTTTGGGTGCAAGGAGTGAGGGTTTGGGTGCAAGG